TCCCAAAAATGTATACACACACTTTGAATAATTATAAAGGCAATGTTATTAAACTACATTTCTTTTTCAAAACTGAGCTGTTAAAGTGTGTACACAATTTTGGAGGGACACCTTGTATATATACTATGCTTTTTCCTATACAGACATACCTTTTCACTTACAGGGAGCACTTTACGGCTTCTCTTTGGCATATCTGAATCGCTAGCATCGAGACTCTTGCACTTTGGGGCCATTATTAAGTAAAATAAGAGTTGCTTGGACACAGCACTGCCATCCTGAGACAGTTGATCTGATACCCCCGGTGGCTATGAAGTGGCTAACAAACAGGTGGGTTGTGTATACAGTGTGGATACGCTGGACAAGGGGATGATTCACATCCTGAGAGATTTCACCACATTACTCAGAACAGCACACAATATAAAACGTACGAATTGTTTATTTCTGGGATTTTCCATTTACTATTTTCAGGCCACAGTGGACTGAGGGTAGCTGAAAATATGGGGGAAAAGGTTGTGGATAAGTGGAAACTACTGTATATTCTGTTTTTATTCTAAAAGCTGCTGGAAGCCGTTGAAGGTTATATTCCAAAGTCCCCGTCATTCTCCCTCCCCACCTTTGTGCTACAGCCCCACTCACCTACTCGGGTTCTCTAGTACTTGTCACCAGGTCTTTCACATAATGTTCCCTTTTCATAGACTGTTTTTTCCACCTATGTCCTCCTAGTTTATTTACTTTTTAAAATATTTTTATTGATTTCAGGGAGGAAGGGAGAGGGAGACAGATAGAAACATCAATGATGAGAGAGAATCATTGATAGGCTGCTTCCTGAACACCCCCGACTGGGGATCGAGCCCACAACCTGGGCATGTGCCCTTGATGGGAATCAAACCGGGGACCCTTCAGTCCACAGGAAGACGCTCTACCCACTGAGCAAAACCAGCTCGGGCCTCCTAGTTCCTTTATATTTCAGCTTAAGTGCCACTCCCTGAGAGAAGCCTTCCCTGGTCTCAACTAGATAAGCACCTTTTGAATACCTCCCTTGGTACACATGTTCGCTGTGTCTGATCGGTGTCTGTCTCCCCCACCTACATCTCCCCAGGTTGAGACATTACCTATGATTGCACACAATTATGTCTCCAACCATTACCACAGTGGCTGGTCTATAGTAGGTGCTTATTTCATATTGGCTAATGGAAGACAGAAAGGATGGAAGAGAAGGCGGGAGGGGGGAAAAGTGGAGAAATTGAGGGGAGTGTTGTGGAGAAGTGATGATATCAGTTCAGTTTAGACTTGATTTTAATTTAAAATTTTTAAAATCAAATTTTATTGCCCTGACCAGTTTGGCTCAGTGGATAGAGCATCGGCCTACGGACTCAAGGTTCCCGGGTTCGATTCCAGTCAAGGGCATGTACCTTGGTTTCGGGCACATCCCCAGTGGGGAGTGTGCAGGAGGCAGCTGATCGATGTTTCTCTCTCATCGATGTTTCTAACTCTCTGTCCCTCTCCCTTCCTCTCTGTAAAAAATCAATAAAATATATTTTTTTAAAAATCAAATTTTATTGATTTTGAGTGGTGCATCTAGGAACAGATGTTCTAAAAACAGGGGAAAGGGATTTGAAGTTTAAAGAAAGGCAGATCAAACCCGGCTGGAGTGGCTCAGTGGTTGAGCGTTGACCTCTGAACCAGGAGATCACGGTATGATCCCTGGTGGTTTGGGATCACTAACTGTCAATGTGGGCAGGTTACCAAGTCTGAGTCACCTTTAAACCCAGACAGAGACATATGATCCAGTCGCAGCCAGCCAGACTCCCAAAACCGGCTTCCCGTATCCCCAGGCTGCTTTATACCCAGCTGGTCACTCAGAACAACTGAATATTGATCATGCAGAAATGAGATTCTTGATTTGGCATCTGGAGTTTATCAAGTACTTAGCGATATCTGTCAGTCATAGATAGGGTTATTAAAACATGCATCATCTCACCTTTCCCAGGCTTCCTCACTGGGTTGTTGCAGAGATCCAAAGAGAAAATGCATGTGGAGAGATTGTCAAAACATCAAGTGTCAAACAAACGAGTATGACATTGCCATTATAGAGATCAACTGCCAACATTCAGGGTGGCTTTTTCTTCTTCCTAGAAAGGAAAGAAACATTTCATGGGAGTCCATATTTTCTGATACCTCAGTGGAAATCAGACAAACCTGGGTTTAAATCTGGCTCAGTTATTTTATAGATGCCTAGTCCTGGGTCAGGGACTGAGCTTTTCGAAGCCTTTGTTCTAATCTGTAAGATAATCAGTAGCACCACCTCCTGGGTCAGGGACTGAGCTTTTCGAAGCCTTTGTTCTCATCTGTAAGATAATCAATAGCACCACCTCACAAAGTTGTTTTTTAGATAATGCCTGTAAGTGCTGTGCACAGTGCCAGGCATATAGTACTTAATAAATGTTCATGTTTAATATCATCACTATCTTTAGGAGTGTTCTGAGGAGCAGTGACCCAATGGAAGAATCACAGAATCGCAAATCTTTCAGCATCCTCTCATCCAGGCGATAGCACCCCAGATCCAAGTTGTTGAGTTCGATGGCAGAACTCCCTGCAGCCCAACGGAGCGTTCTTACTCTCCTCACTCCCTCCAGAATTAAGGGCATTTAGTAAGTGTAGCTGTACTTGGCAAGGGATCTCTGGGGGGACAGGGAGGATCAATTATAACTTGGGTCAAGTTCTATATGAGATGGCAAATCCATTCCGAGACAATGTAGAGAGATCTAACCTGGGGACTGCATGGGAAAGACATAGCTAGTGTTCATTCCAGGCCTGCTCTTTTCTTATCTTGCTGTGTGATCTTGAGTAAGTCATTTCCCCATTTTGGCCTTATCATCCTTAACTCTGAAATGAGGGGTGGGGTTATGTAAGAAGGGCATGGAGTTAGAGATTGCATCTAAGTTCTCTCCACATTTCTGTTGTTATGATTCTATGCTGGTAGACTAATTGGTGCCTGTCCATTCTTTGTTTGCTCCTGGAAAATGTTTGTTAAATGCTAGCTCCTCCCCCAAGTAAATTCCATTTTAAAAATCATTTTCATATTATCTAAATCTCTATGAAATTTCTAATTGTCATTCAACAAAAAACAACTATTAAGTCAATAGTAACTGCGCTTTAAAAAAATAAAGAAAACATTAACAATTAATTTATTGATCACTGGTGAACGTCACTTAATCGGCAGGTAGAATCACCTTAGTGATGTTGAGTAATCTAGACTAAGAGAACATGAAAGAAGGAAAGTTCCTGCTTGTAGTAATTAGAACCAGGTGAGGCTAATTTTCTTTCCTTTTGTTTTTTCAATATTTTATTGATTTCAGAGAAGAAGGGAGAGGGAGAGGGAGAGATAGAAACATCAATGATGAGAGAGAATCATTGATTGACTGCCTCCTGCATGCCCCCCACTGGGGATGAGCCCGCAACCCGGGCATGTGCCCTGACCGAGAATTAAACCATGACCTACTGGTTCATAGGTCAACGTTCAATCACTGACCCACGGCTGGGCAAAGTTTATTTTCTTTTCTTCTTCTTGGAAGAAAGTTTTGAGCACAGAATTGTTATAATGTACTCGAAGAAAGATGTCCCTTTGGGAGAGTAGCAAAGGCTAAGGCTGGGGACACCGTGAGCTTCTCTGAATAGGTTTACTTATCTGGAAAGAACTGTAGTTTGAGTAGTTTGAGCACAAGCAGAAATGTGCATGTGGGCACATCAGAATGGAACGTTGAAACCAGGCTTATTCCAGCAAATGATCGGAGGAAGTAATGACGAGGGATAAGTGAGTAATGAGGATCTCATTAGTTAAAGACCTTAAGTTCTATCCATAGGAGTTAAAAATTTACATGAGAGACACTTGGGAATTATGTGGTTTTGAAAATGGAAGATTTTTTTTTCTCCTTGTCTCTAAATTGCAGTGTGTGGGCACACTTTTTCTCCACACCCATGAGAAAAAATAACCCATCCAACACAGAAATACCAGATCTAAAATGCTGCGAGGAGTCACTTAATTTAAACCCAGCCCTTCTCTGTGTTGCTTCTTTGAGGCAAGGTGCCTGGAACATAACTGCAAATTCAGAATTAGAATGGGTGGAAAGAATAAAAAATGGTAAGATGTCCTAAAGCACCAAGTCCCTGTGTATGTTCACCTGACAAAACTACTTTCAGTGTCAGAGGAAAGCGATTATGACATGTGCAGGCAGGGAAAGGACAGCATCATCATGGAGACCACGACAGACTTATCCCATGCTCCCAGGCTAGGGATTCTTAGAAGCAGAACAGTAGTGAAACCAACTTCCAACCATTCATTCATGACGCAGAATCAACTATTGCTGTTCTCCTCACCATCCTGCTGCTGTTTGTCATCATTTCATTGTTTTTATCTTATGCACTAGTTTTAGACTTTATTAACTAAACAACACAAGTCTGTGAATTCTTTCTGCAAGTCAATTTAAGGCTTGCTTTCTCTGTTGTCTAAGACAAGTGGTCAATGCTCTCACAATGATTAAATGCAGAAGATAATTCTCAATCCTTTTTTTTCTTTTAGCATTTGACACTACAAAGACCTACACATTTGGTTCCTGATTCTCCCCCAGTTCCTCTCATACTTTTTATATTGCTCTTTCTTGTGTTCTTTCTATAGGTCTTCTTTTTTATTTGTGTCAATTGTGTTATTAGACCTTAATTCAGTGGTTCTCAACCTTCCTAATGCCGAGACCCTTTAATACAGTTCCTCATGTTGTGGTGACCCCCAATTTCATTGTTACAAATTGAACATAATTAAAGTATAGTGATTAATCACAAAAAAATATGTAATTATATATTTGTTTTCCGATGGTCTTAGGCAACCCCTGTGAAAGGGTCGTTCGACCCCCAAAGGGGTCGTGACCCACAGGTTGAGAACTGCGGCTTTAATTGTTAGAGCAGTTTTAGGTTCACAGCAAAATTAAGCAGAAGGTACAAAGATTTCCCATATTCTCCCTGCCTCTACATGTGCCCTGACCAGTAATCAAACTGGAGACCTCTTGGTGCGTGGAACAAGGCTCAACCAACTGAGCCACATGGGCCAGGGCTCAATGTTGTTTTAATTTGCATTTTCCTGATGACATAGGAGCATCTTTTCATGTGCTTATTTGCCATATTTTTTGATAAGGTGTCTGTTAAGATCTTTGACCCATTATTTAATCAGATTGGTTGTTTCCTTATTGTAGAGTTTTAAGAGTTCTTTGTAGCCTTGCCCGGTAGGGATCAGTTGTGGGGGTCATCCCATTCTCTCTCTCTCTCTCTCCCTCTCTCTCTCTACTAAAAATCAATAAAAACATCCTCAGGTGAGGATTTTAAAATAAATAAATAATTTTTTAAAAAAAGTTATCAACAAACCCAAGGTCACCTAGATTTTTCTCCTCTGTTATCTTCTAGGATTTCTATATAGGATTTTTTTTTTTTTAGTTCTGGATCTGTGATCCATGTTGAGTTCAGTTTTGTGAAGTGTGTAAGGACTGTGTCTAAATTTTCCTCCCCCCGCCCAAGAGGTCTTTTTCCTGCCTCTTACTGCATTTATTTCCTTAGATTTATCTCTAGCTAAATATTTACTTTTATCCTGATTGCTCTAATTTATTCACTCTCCTGTCTTCTAGAAAAGTCCTCAAATACCAGTCCATGGACTAGCGGCATCAGAATCAGTCAGGGTGTTTATTAGAAATACAGCTTCATCGGTGCCCCCGAGATTGAAACTTCTCTGACTCAGAATTTTAACATAATTTTAAGCAGGGAATCATATTTAAGGATTGTAGGCAATTCTGAGGAGCAGAAAACCTTGGTGATCACTGTTCTAGGAGATGCTGATGATATTCACACTTATTTCTTTAGTCAATCCTAAGGGTTTCCTAAGCCCCAACATAAAGACACACTCTTATCCTTGACCTTGAACAAGCCATTATTACAGGACTAAAGAGGACTAAAAGGGTCCATTTGCTGCATCACAAAGCCCAATAAGACACGAACAGGAATTTGCAGACAAGAAAGTAAGGATTTATTAAGGGATGGCACCAAGCCCAGTCACAGATAACTCATGCTCAAAGACCGGGCTTCCAGGGATGTACTATATAGGGAAAAAATAGTTAATTATGTTGACTAAAGGAGTTAGGGTGGTGGTCTCTATTGATTGGTTGGTGCTAGGGTAGGGAGTAATTGATCATTGCATATGGTCCTGGTGTCAGCCATGGAGTTGCTCTGTCCAATTTCACAAGGATTTATTCTGTGGCATCATTCCGATTTCCTGGTTTCAGAGCTAAAACACAACTGAGGCCAAGATATTGTCTTTAGTTTGACTGAAACTCTGTCTCTGTAGTCAATAGACCCAGGTCCTTGTTTCTAAGACTACTGGAGGCTGACCGTAACCTCACTGTCCTGAGGCTTAATGACTAAGCAAGGGAGAGGGAGGTGGGTGAGTCAGGGAGCTGGGTGAGGCCAGTTTGAGTCAAAGAGAAAAAATCAAAATAAAAGGCCAGATTAAAGAGAATAAGGTTTCTGTGCGGTTACAAATTTAGCATCTCTCAGCCCAGTTTTCTCTTCTACAAAGTGAGAATGATAACATTTTCTCCCTTCCTGAGTTGTTGGGGGATTATATATTGCACTATTCTGACTCCCCCATTGAGAAAGCACTCAATAAAAAACAGCTGTCATTATTTTCTGTCCTCCTGTAGCACTTACCATGTGGTAAGAGACGTCTTCCTAGGTGGGGCTCTCTCTCTCTCCTCAAGACGATGAGCTTGTTAGCAGCAAAGACATGGTCTTGTTCATCATTGTCCACCAGCATCCGGCACATGGTAGCCATTTGACAAATGCCTTGACTGGGTGACAAATACATAACCAAGTGAATCAGTTATTCACATAGTTCGTCACAGAATATTTTAAAATATGTCTTTTGTGTGTGTATGTCTCTAGGGAGGAACAAAAGAGACCTAGAGTTGTGGCAAGAATAAGAAAAGAGGATGCCAACAACTTTTCTTATGAGACATAGCACCTTTCTATTGTGGATGGTGGAAGGGCATCAGGTGTTAGACGGGTGGGGTCAGGCAGGACCTAGGTCAGCCGTGGGCAAACTACGGCCCTTGGGCCGGATCCGGCCCATTTGAAATGAATAAAACTAAAAAAAAAAAAGACCGTACCCTTTTATGTAATGATGTTTACTTTGAATTTATATTAGTTCACACAAACACTCCATCCATGCTTTTGTTCCGGCCCTCCGGTCCAGTTTAAGAACCCATTGTGGCCCTCGAGTCAAAAAGCTTGCCCACCCCTGACCTAGGTTCAGCAACCTCCGTACTTGAGTTCTGGCTAGAAAAGAATTCAGACCCAAGACTCAAACTACAAGAGAACATTTATTTGGACAATCTCAGAGACAGAAGAAGTAATCTGTCGAAGAAATGGGCTTAGGAAACAAGTTATAGAGGTAAAGGAAGGGCCCTTGGAGCTTGGGAGTGAGGAAGGTAATGGTAAGGCACCCCCAGGAGTTCAGGGGGAGGGGGAAGAGAAAGCCTTAGGGGTGGGGTTCTTTCCGAAGGCAGAGTGCACTGGGTCCTAAGGGTTTTGAGGGTGGAGCTTTTAGGGGAGGTCCCAGGGGAAGATTGCAATAGAATGTTCAGCAGCTTTCCAGGTGTGTCTTTTCAGGGTCTAGGTCTCCACTGATTGGTCAGCACCAGGGCACGGGGTCATTAGTCAATGCAGCTGGTCCTGAGGGCAGCCATGGGGTCACTTGCCTGGTTTTGCTGCTTTTCTGGGTCTGGAGCTGAAATACAGCTGAGGCCTAGATGTTATCTCTAGGGAGGAAAGGTCAGGGAGTCCAAACGGCATGGCCATCTATATGCTAGGGGAGAAAAGGTCACCCTTGGGACCAGGCCCCACCCTACAAGTGCCCTTTGCTAGTCACCCAGGGCTTTCCACCCTGGTGGCCTTCTGTACTTGGCCCATCGGCCTCTCTCTGCACATGTCTCTCCAACTGCCTACCACATTTCTTGTTATTGCCCAGAAAAACTGGAGTAAAACTGGAGTGAGTCTGTGGTTAGATCTGTGCCCCTTCTCTTTACTTGACTGCAGTATGAACTCTAACATTTTTGCCATTTACAAAAAATTTCTATTGATAGGTTTTCTTGCTTTTTATTATTAATCATTATCATTATTATTACTACTACTACTACTACTACTACTACTAGAGGCCTGGTGCACAAAATTTGTACACGGGTAGGGTCCCTAGGCCTGGCCTGCGATCAGGGCCACCTTCCTGCTGTCGACCAGGGCCTTCCTTCGTTCTGTGCCACCACCCCCTGGTGGTCAGATCACATCATAGTGAGCCATTGAACTCCCAAGGGGACACTTTGCATATTAGTCTTTTATGTATATAGATTATTAGAGAGGATGGGAGGGAGAGAGAGAGAAAAATAAAAACATCAGTGTGTGAGAAACATTGATCTGTTGCCTCCTGCACATGCCTGACTGGGGATCGAACCCAAAACCTGGGTATGTGCCCTGACCGGAATTGAACCCTCCACCTTTTGGTGCATGGGACCACACTCCAACCAACTGAGCCACCCTGGCCAGGGCCATTTTGGCCCCTTTGACTTTGCTTTCTGGGCACTAAGCTTCAGTCACTGTCACCAAGGAAACAGCAGCGATGCCTCCTTCCTCACAGCTCTGCACAGCTACACTCTGGTTGCCTTTGTCCACGGAGCTAGCTCCATTCTTTGTGTGCACAGCCCTAAGTCAACCGTCCTCTACACAGAACTTTGCCCATTATTTTACCTTTTAAAAAATATGTCCCAAAAAAGTAGATGTCTACCCATTTCTTCCTGGCAATGGCCTTTTTCCAGACCTGTCCGTAATCTTAAACGCACCAGGCATTTTTGGGTCCCTTAGGAGCAAATATAAAAATTGCCTGTTTAGCCTTTGTGGCATGGGCAATATGAGGGAGGGTCCACTTTAAAGCATGCAACAGAGCATGCATAATGGGTTTCCCCTTTAAAAGCACGGTAGACCAAGAATAAACCTGAGAAAGGGCAGCTGTGGAGTTTGAACATGTGGAAAACTCCAGGGGCGGCCGTTATGTAACAAGGAACATGCTAACTATTTCACACTTTTGGATGAACTTCCAACTCGGACACGTGAAAAGCTAAGGACACAAAACACACCTTAGCTCTCCGAGGAGCAAACGGCGCCCACTGAGCAGGGGCCAGAGCTATTGCTCAAATCGGAGACCGGCCCTCCAGCAGACTCTCGATTGCTTTTTTTACCCTCCTATCTTATTGCTTTTTTTTAACCCTCGCGTCCCAGGCGGGGCAGGCGAACCCCATCTCCCCGGAGCGCCTCTTCGGCTGCTTCTCTCCAATCCAGAAATCTCCCAAATCTCCCCACCTCTAGGCTGCAAACCCCAAAAGTTTTGCGGCAAAGGGGCCAAGAGAGGAGCCGGAG